TCCACGAAAATTTGACCATAATTCACAAACTTGCAGAAAAATGCAAGTTTTTCCACTTTGATTATTTAGACGAGAGCCTGATTCCACCACGCTGCCTCACATATATGCCTCGTCACCACTACCTCTAACTGTCGTATTGATTTCTTCACTCTGTCTTTGTCTATCTCCTCTCATAACCTCTCTTTTGTCCATCTTGTCTCATAACCTCTCTTGTGTCCATCTTGTCTCATAACCTCTCAGCTGATAATGGGCTGTGGTTAACATCACGGCGTCATAAACAATATGTTGCTGGTATTGAATAAATAATCAGGGAGGTTTTTGTGTGCCTGTTCATCTTTATATAACTGTGTGTTTGTTTTGAGTTCGGCGAAGTGAATGTTGATGATAAGCGAACGTTTGAGTCAAAAGTATTCTGAATCATTTTTGTCTTGTCTTTACAAACTGTGCTCTTATTGTCTATACATGCTGTGCTCTTGATATTTCCAACACATTAATTTGTCTCTTTTAATTAAGAACAATTGGCAATCTCGAAAAATTGCTGTTTTGAGAAAATCGAAGGTAAAGATTTTGCCCCTTGTTCAGTTTCTTTAAAAGACAAGGAGAGTTTTTTCTATAGCCAAACAAATATATACGCCAATGAAACCAAACTTCTCCTACAGATAGGGCAATACCCGCTTTTGGTGTAGGTCAAGATTTCTGGAAATCCCCGAAATCTGGGTTAGCCCGCTTGTCCTTAAAAACGACCAAATAATCAGGGACATTTTTGTGCCTATTATTCATCTTTATGTAACTGCGTGTTTGTGTTTTGAGTTCGTCGAACTGAATGTTACCAAGCGAACGTTTGGGTCAAGAGTATTCTGAATCATTGCCTTTACAAACTGTGCTCTTATTATCTCTGCATGCTGTGCTTTTGATGTTTCCAACACATTAAAATGATTTTTTTAAAAGACCAAAAAGCGTTATAAACGACCCATCACACCCCCTTTCCACGAAAATTGTTAGATAACGCAGCGGCTGATATGTACCTCCAAAAACTAAGAAAGAAAGATATAAAAGAATTGTATTTTACCATCTAACATAAGGCTTTTGTCAGGACAAGCACAGATGTGTGTGGCTCTGTAGAGTATGTATCTATAACAATATAACTCCAAAGGTCTTGTAATTAAATTCCTGCATGTGGTTGAATGATACATCTGATATGAATGTACATTTTGTCAGCTTTATTTCTCTTTACCTATTGAAATGTAATGAGAGTAATACATAATTCAAATATTATTTAATTTTTT